AAAAAACATTTTCGTTACTTTGTTACGTTCTGGAGAGTAGCGAAGTAACGAAAATAACGAAGCGACGAAAGTAACAAAGTGACGAAAATAACGGAGTAACTAAATTATGATGAAAGAGTCTTAATTTCGTCGAATATACTTATGGAGAAAACTAAATTTTGTAGTTTTCATATACTACTCAAAAATTGTCCTTCTCTTATCCAGTGGCATATATTTCTTAAGCAAAACAGGTGTGTTCTTCTGTTTAACGGAAAGTGACATATTGACTCAAATATCATCCATGTATGTAGTGCAGCCCTAGTGAAAGTACTCATACGATGAGTACGACTTTACTCATAATTCGTCCATGAGTTCTCATATTGGTACTACTAACAGTTTCTGAGTATTGTTACTCAGTGAGTACTCAGGAAATATTCATTCACCATTTTATTTTGCTAAACTGAAACTGTATAAAGAATGTGGAATTTAGTGAAGAAACACAGAATATTTATATTATTATTTTCTCACTGGTCTCTCTTTATATAGGCAGAGATAGACTTATCTATGACTAGACTTGTAGTCCTACTCTGGCCACCTGAGATCACTCCTTTATGTGAAGATGAACAACACTCATGAGTATTTTGGCGAAAGTGGTGTGAGTACTCAACAATACCCAAGGATGAGTACTCAGTGAGTAAAAAAATGTATGAGTACGTATGAGTACTCGTCCGGTTTTTCTAGCAGAGTACTTTTTGAGTACTCACACTTGAGTACATTCACTAGGGAGGTATATGATTACAGGAAATGGTGACTTTGATTTTACCGGGTGAACTCGAAAGTGAAACAATATGGCCAGGTTGTATGTGATAAAGCTCTAAATAATAGATCTAAAGTAGTCACATTTGTACAGTTCGTCTTGCAAAAGCTGCATCAGATGATGTACCTTTGAAATCTTTTAGAGGAATGAAAAATTTTGTCAAGTTGGCCATATTGTTTTTTTCTATGCAAAGACGAATTGAAAATAGTGCTAATGACTGTTCCACCTCATAACAAAAGAAAACGAGATCGGTTTGCAAAAAACGGTGGTGCACTTTAAACTGTGTTTGGTAGGTAAATTTTTAATTTGACCATGTCGTAAAGCTCTAAATAATAGATCTAGGCTCAGTTTTATGCACTGAATCAGAGAAAAGAAACCGCAGAGTTCTTAGATGAAAATAGAAAAAATTATTTGGAAATTTACATGCTTACGTGACGAAAGCTCGATATAATAATGCGTTTTTAAATGGAGTATCAAAAGTATATTTTTTAAAATTGGTTTCTTCCTTTTTTTCTTTTTTCTTCCATTTTAACTGACAGACTGCGCAGTAGTAATGGTGACTGCTTTGAATCGGCTCAAACATTTTCACGTGTTGATACCTTTTTTAAAACTAAGAGGTTTTTGTAGTAAGTCCTATGAGTAGTAAGTCCTATGTAACAGATGATGACGATAATAAACTTTTTAAGACTGGCAGTGACCAAGTTTTCTTGATTGCGTTCCAAAAAGCATCACTTTTGCCTAAGAAACGAATAGTCTTACGTTATTTTTGGCACTTAACAGATTGACTAAAGTAAAATCGGTTTGATATTGGTTTCATTTATCTCATACTGTTTTATGTTTTATGTAAATTTGTGAGTGTATCGTATAATGGTGTATTAGGACTGCTCTTTTACGTCTTTCCAATGTTCATGTTGAAGCACTGGCGTTGTGGGGTGGCATTTTACCTTCACTTTGCTCGCAACCAGTAACTAAATTAGTTACTCGTCACTAGTAACGCAAAACTGATTTAGTTACTCCGTTATTTTCGTCACTTTGTTACTTTCGTCGCTTCGTTATTTTCGTTACTTCGCTACTCTCCAGAACGTAACAAAGTAACGAAAATGTTTTTTTTAACATGTTGGTTACTTCGTTACTTTCTGGAGAGTAGCGAAATAACGAAGTGACGAAATTAGTTACTCGTCACTGATAACAAAGTAACAGAAACTTACTCCTTTACTAGTAACAAGTAACTAACGTCGTTACTTTACCTGATAGAGTGACGCCGAGTAACTAGTAATATGCCACCCCAACTGGCGTTCCAGTGTAATTTTTTTTCTCAATAAAAGGTCAGCAAACAATAAATGAGTATAGTCGTACTCCGTTGAGACGAAAGTTGACTTTATTAACCATCAGCCTCTGTGACGTTATGGGGCTTGGAACGAAGTATTACGAAATGATGCATAACAAATGAAATAATACGTTGTTTTCATTGAATCATACAACATGAATTTCTTTTACGATTGAAAACTTTCGCAATTTTTGTAAACCGCATTATCACAATGAATAAGCAATGTTTAATACGGCAGAAAAGCAAAACAAAGGGATTGTTTTTTGTCAATTGTATATACACATAGGTTGACCTACTGATTTATTATTACAAAATACTTTCTTTCTTTCTATTGAAAGGATGAAATGAATCATTTTCATCAGTATGTATGCCCAGTGACAGACGAAAATATTTTTGTGAACGAAAAGGTATTATACTTCATAAACTCACCTTGAAACATTACCCTGGAACCTGACAATTATGATAGCTAGTAATTTTACAACTTTATTTAGCTACTGAACGCTGATTAACCAGCAAGTTGACATCTCGTTGACTGAATGATTCGTGAGATATAATAATTACATTTTTCTCTCATAAATCGGTACTACCTAATCCTAGAGACGCACAAGTTATCTTCTTGCCAGAATATATTCCTGATACAAATCTAATAAAAACTTTCCATATGCCGGATAAGACATTAGACAAAAATAGTTGTTATAATTGATCTTTCACAGTACAATGGAGTAAATTTTTACTACACGTCGTCCATTTAAGCCTCGCTGATCTTTCCAATTACCGGTTTAAAAAGAAACTCATCTGAGTCTATATGATGAAAGAGTCTTAATTTCATCGAATATACTTATGGAGAAAACTAAATTTTGTAGTTTTCATATACTACTCAAAAATTGTCCTTCTTTTATCCAGTGGCATATATTTCTTAAGCAAAACAGGTGTGTTCTTCTGTTTAACGGAAAGTGACATATTGACTCAAATATCATCCATATATATAGGGCAGGTATATGATTACAGGAAATGGTGACTTTGATTTTATCGGGTGAACTCGAAAGTGGCTCCAACCAAAACTTGATTTCATCGTCCGAGAGTTTGATATCTATCAGAATCCAGGGACACTTGTGTCATTAAAAATCTGCTGATCTTCGGCTATCGAAGTCTGAGCGAAGGTTTAATTTTTTTGAATATTGTTGCTTCCTCGGAAATTCGCTGATGTACCCGAAAAAGCTAAAATTGAATTTTCCACAAACTATTTTTAGACTATCTGTACACAGAAAAAAAAACGAGTGGTACCAGAAAAAAAAGAAGAATAACAACACTGTATATACTGACTAAAAATACGAAGAAACAAATATATCGTCGTGTATGAACAGGAAAAACGAGAATCATTATACATACACTTAATGCTGTGCATACACAAGGAAAGAAAAGAACGGAAGAAAGAATGTCCATTGTGAACGACCTGGACAAAACAAGAAAAGAACATGGCATCTTGTGTTTGCGGCGCGTGCCGCTAACAGTCGTCCCCGCAAAAGGCTGTGTGTGTGCGCGCACACTAGAGTTTAAAAGCAAAATGGTTCAGCTCAGAGAGTTTCATGTTGTGAAAAGTAACTGTCCCAAAAATTCCATGCAAAAATAAGCCAAGCCAAAATAACCTAAAGACAAAATGTTATGCAGAACAACAAAAGAATTTTAAAAGTGCAGAAAATGTCCTTTCCTTTTCGAAACTGTTACTTGTACTTGTGTTGAGTATGTCATGATACTCGATACAACGCTCGATAATGATTTTCTGTAAAGAATTCATCTCTTAGGCGTTGTTCATACTGTATGCGTGTTGCATCATCTTTCAAACCAAGAAACATGCGATGGCGAACGAGATGAACGTTGACCCATTTAATTCTCAACCACCGTAATACGGATTTGACGCTGCTAATTGAAAACCGTTCAAATATGTCTCTTATTACTTCATATGTGTAGCGTTTACGGCGCATTTTGATACTTGTTTTATGACTTCGTCGTTTGCGATCGCGTTCTGTTCGGTGCAGTGTCTTGTGTTTCCATGTCCGTGTGGTTGTGGTTTTTGTGAAGATCGACCGATCATTCAGAACTTGAGCAGCCAAAACATCTGTCGAGACTAGTAGATCATCTGGAACATGATCCACCAGGACATCGACCGATTTAATTGTTGTCGGTTCTGCAGTTGTTGATCGTCTAATTAATTGTTCAAACGCCGCTTCATAGCTTTCGACCTGTTGTTTATTCCATCCATCTTGACCTATCAGCTCATATGTCATCCATGTTTGTAATTCCGGATCGAGCCCACATGCCCATCGACTTAATGGTAACCGTTTATCAAGGAACGTTCCAAAAGTGACAGCAATTGCTTTCTGAAGCGACCAAGGATTGTTGGGATCCCGATAAGCGCTGGTGTTAATGGAATGGATGAATGAATTGACCTCGTACTTTGGAACGTTGATTATCAACACATCGGGTTCATCGTCGTCCAATGGCAAACTTAGTTGCCATTGACAAAGTTGAATTTATTGTACCACGTTTCAAAGCCCCCCTGGATGTTAACCAATTTTGTATCATCCGGTAATCGAAACAATTGAAAATACTTAAAAGGTTCAAACTCTTTCCGCAATTCTCCCAGGAGTAAATCGTTCTACCACTGTTAAAAATAGCTAATGACAGCCGTTGGATTTGTTTAAACAGAGACGATGTGGACGAAGGTAAATGGGCGCATTCGAACAAGATAATAGATGATGGACCATTTATACGAATTAATTGAACTTGGACAAGTGCATTCATTGGTGTAGTGATCGGACTCTGTGTCGACAGTAACAGCATTTGTTTGATGTGCTGCTTCGATTAGATAATCAATAGTTGTTTCTGATGTTTCTTTGTCAATGTGATAAACCTGGAATTCGTTTGGTGCAACATAGTACGCTGACGAGCACGCTTGCTTTATTTGTTCATTCTTCTTGTCGCGTCGTATTTTCCACCCCTTCTTTCTTGTGTGTGCTGATGTAGTTCGATCGGGTCGCGTTGATTCCATTCGGATGGTACGCGGTGATGTGAACGTTTGATTGAATGGTTCGAAAAATGATGAGAAGTACAATAAGACATAATCTGGAAAAAGATTATAAGTAGAATGTATCTGAATCCCAGTGAATAACAAGAAGACTACATGAAAATCCGCTACTTGAAATTCTCATTTAAGTGCACTTCAACTTCGTCAAAACGATGAAGAAAATCACATGAACAAATCCCCGAGGGATATTCATCTTAAAACTATATGATCACTGATCATATCGATAGTGGCGGCGCCAGAAGTTTTCATCTGAGGGGGCTCAGCCCCTGCCATTCTATATGATCTCCCTCCCATCTCGGAAGTTTTTTCGACTATTGTATTTGTACTAAATTACTACTGAATGTTTGATGTAACTAAAAAATGACACATATGCAAACTAGTTAGTATATCCTTTTATTAATAAAACCTAAGAACTTAATCTAGCATAACAAAATTCTACTGTTTTTGTGATTGATCGAAAATTGATTTATAACTCATTCGTAATTAATATCAAAATCACGTTCAATAGCCAGCACTGTAAGATCACTTAATCGTTTATCAGACATTGAATTCCTAAGATAATTTTTGATAATCTTCATTTTTGAAAATGACCTTTCACATGTAACTTGCGAAATGGGCATTGTTATTGAATTTGTAATCATTTTCATTGTTTGTGGAAATGCATCTGCAAAAGGAACGAGTTCATTTAGAAACTGAACTACATCATTAATTTGTTTTGATTGAACCATAGGTTTGATAACAATAAGTTCATTTTTCAATGCATTTGAATCTGCACTAATATGAGCACAAAATTCATCTATATAATCAATATTTAAAAAATATTCACTTTTTGGATAAACTGTGGATATGCTTTTTAACTTTCATAATGTTTTTGATGAAAATCTGTCATTCAGTTCGACTAACATACAATCGATCAAAGGAAAAAAAATACGATTCATAAAATCTGTTGATGATGATAAAACTTCACGTTAACCAATAGTTGAATCTACTATAAATTCTTCAAATCTAGCTGGAACTTTTGTTGTTCGATGTGATCGATATTGATGAACGAGTTCAATTTCATTTTTACTACAAAACTCTTTTGCTTTATCATAAACTTGTTCAAATGATTGTTCATTACAAAGATCTTTGATTTGTTGAATGATAGATTTTATTAAATATTCACCACATACATAATCTAAAGTAGAACCTTAAGAAAAAGATATACTGCTTGTAGGTTAAGAAAACACAAACCTTACTTTCCAGTTGATCGCTAAGGATCTTGATAATACCAAATAATTGATGAAGAATAAATGAAGTTATAATAAATATTGATTTTTTTACATGTGTTAATAATCCACCAGCATTAACTGAGCGTGAACCACCACCTTCTTCGCTAATATCAACCAATGCTTTGATAATTGCTGGAAAATTGTTAATAATCGAATCAATTGCTCCCCATCTAGAATCGCATCGTGTTAAACCCCATAATTTCAATGTAGAAGATTTAACTAAAATAAGAATAAATGAAAACAAACTACGTTTGATAGATAGTAGAATAACTACCTAAATCTAATTCTTGCTGTGCTACTTTAAAATACATGTTGGTTACACCGGATTCAGTGAAGAAGGAATAAATATTTGATACGATCGAAAAATAATCCGAGATGTAACATACAACTTTACAAGTGTCATTAATAACTAAATTAAGACGATGTGCCGAACAATGAATATAAATACTTTCTGGCATATATTTTTTGAGTAAAACATGGACACCTGCATGACAACCAGACATAACCGATGCTCTATAACGATAAAATAAATCAAGATCTCAGTTTTTGTACATTTTACACAAAAACAAGTACAATCACTTACCCATCAAAACATAAACAGATGCATGCATGTAAAGAAATATTTAAACTTTTTAAAAAGTCAACAATCTTGTTGGCTAATGTTTCAGCATCGAATTCATCTAATGCAACGAAACCAAGAAAGTATTCCTTCACAACATTTGAAGCATCAATTTTAGGATCATTAACATCACGAACAAATCTAATAACAATAGATAGTTGTTGTCTGCCACTTATATCTCGACATTCATCAGCCATTAATGCATAATTACAGTTAGTCAACTGAAAAAATATAGAAAAGTTCAAATACAACACATGATTCAAAAAATGTAGATTACCATAAAAGCAATATCTTCACGAATTTGACTACTCATTATATGAATTAATTCATTTTGAATATTATGACTTAAATAAGTAGCATTCCTCGTGGAATCTTGAATATTGACTGCACTATAGGATCAGTTTGTGCTGCCCATTTAAGAATCTCCAAAAAATTACCTCGATTTGAACTTCTAAAACAAAGCAAATAAAAACAAATTTCAATACACGTAGGATATCTTGGCACAGGATTCGATATTTCCTGCTACGATTCGCTCCACACACCTTTCCAACGCTAAGAAACACCTTTCCAAGTAGATCTCGACGAGCTCTATTCAGTGGTGTAATTGGATTTCTTATAACTCAAACTGTACTCGCAGAAATCTCGAAATACTCGAAATTTACTGATAATTGACCCTAGTCAATCTGAGTAGGATTCGCCTAGGAATACTTTCCAACTCAGTCCAACACCTTTCCAAGTTCAACTCGATGAGCTCTATCTAACGGTGTGCTTAGATTCTTTCTAACGTGTTTTAACTAAAAATTAAATTTTCGATTTTCATCTAGCGCCCTTTTTAGGGTAAAACTTTTATTTTTCGTTAAAACAAGTTATAAAGAATCTGAGCACACCGTTAGATAGAGCTCATCGAGTTGAACTTGAAAAGGTGTTGGTCGATCACACGGATCTGGTCATTGATCAGATCCGTGTGATCGAGATCAGTACGTTTGCACACTAGCACATCGTGGTCAAGCAATAAAGTGCATCAGTATCACAACCACCACGCATCGATTCATTTAAAAAAGTATTTGAAACAACCCGTCGGTCGTAACAAAATTTCATGAAAAATAGGATGCCTTTCAAGTGCGTGTGCAGAAGTGACAGAAAGCACAGGAATGAAAATATAAACGCTACCAAACTGGTTAACTTAAACCTATAACTATCGTCTCCTCCGTTCTGTTGTTATTATCCTGTTATCCGGTTATGATCATTGTGGATAAAATTAATCGTCGATTAAATGATAGCTCCTCGAGCCAGTGAAGTGCTCAGTTTCCCCGAAAGGCATTGCTAAATCATCAAACCACCAAACAGTTATGTCCATAATGATGACAAAAAATTTCCGATTGGCTGGACTCTTGATCAAGTTTGTTGGTGTGATTAATTCACGAAATTCGCTCGACGATTGGAATCATCGAGTTAATAGTGATTTGTTTTTGATATTCTGGTTTTCCAACGTGCTCAACAAAATACGTTTTCGGTCCCAATTGTTTCTGCACTCGAAACGGACCTTCGTTACGCAGAGAAAACTTATTTCTCGCCGCTGTTGTTTTGACAAGAACTAAATCCCCTACAGAATATGTTGGATTACTTCAATTTAAATCGTACTTCCCCTTGTATTTTCGTTGACTCCTGAGGACAATTCGTTTCATATCCTGGGTTAGAGACGAAATGTAGTCCTTCGCATACTGTAAATATTCGTCCCTTTCCATTGTCGATACAACTGAGGACTGAGGTAAGACAGGTTTTTTGCCATACATTAACTCAAATGGAATGTGTTTGGTGGTGGCGTGTACGCTGGTATTATAGATAAATGTAACAAAAGATAACTGTTCATGCCAGTTTGTTTTTCGCTCATTAGCTAGCACCGCGATTTTCGCATCCATTGTTGCATTAAGTCGTTCTATTTGACCATTTGTCTGAGGATGATAAGGTGTTGCATAAAGATGTGTTGCCCCAATGCTTTTTAATAGGTTGTTAAACATGTGTGAAATGTGATCCATTGTCAGTTAGTATACATCGGCGTGTCCCGTGTTTAGTGACTACTTCCTGCTGAAGAAATTCTGCAGCCGTTTTTACACTATTGTCGCGCACGGCTTTAGAAATAACAAGTTTAGGCGTGATATCGGTGGTAGATATAATATACTTATGTCCTCTCGCCGATGATGGGATAATTGGACCGTGATAATCCATCGCTAATAGCTGCCAGACGTCCTCCGGTGGTTTAATCGGCTTTAGTGCTCCATCACACTTTCGTCTTGAATGATTGTACTGAAGACAGGATTTCACATGATTTTTTGTATCACGATGCAATGACGGCCAAAAATATCGTTTCTGAATACGTTTCAGTGTTTTGTCACGCCCGAAATGGGCTCCATTAGCTGGAGTATCATGATAGACTTTCAGAATAGATACTCGAAGTTTACCTGCTGGTACGAATGGGAGAGAAAGTTTGGGTTTTTGTCGGTGCATGAGTAGCCCATCTTTTAAAAAATAGAATTGTTTATATTTAGGCGTTTTTAACTGTTCAATTATCTGTTTTACTTCTCCATCATTTTGTTAATATCGCTGAAGGTCATCGTAATTAAAAACAGTGATTTTTTCCTCTTGTGGAATAGGGTCGGACTGATGATCCTGGACTAACTGGGGAGCCGCATTAACGTTTTGTGTCGTGGTCGAACCATTTGAAAATGTTTGTTGCGCGGCTTGAGCTCTCGTTGTAACTCCCAAAATCATGTTTCCTTGAACTGAGGATGCGGAATAGTTTGTCGACTGATCATCTGTGACATGATCAGCCGTATCCGGCTGTGTCGATTTAGATTGTTTTTCATTTTCATCATACTCTTGTTTCGTCGGTTCGACTGGATGACGAGACAAAAAATCGCAGAGAACATTGTTTTTTCCTTTAATGTGAAAAACTTTAAACCGATACTCTTGTAGTTTCAAGCGCCATCGCTCACATTTTTTATTCAGTTGTGCTTATTTGTTCAAATATTCTAGTGGTCGATGAGCAGTTTCAGCGACATAATCCAATTCAAACGGTTGTCTGTGCAGATACGAATGCCATTTCTCAATGCACAATGCGATTGCGAAACATTCTTGTTCCGTCGGGGACCACCCTGCTTGGGTTTTCGTTAACTTTCTTGAGTAATAAGCCACTGGTTTATCGCCTTGGAGTAATACACCTCCTACTCCGTTATCTGATGCATCCGTTCGGACCACAAATGGTTTCGCGTTATCGGAAAATTGGAGTATAGGCGCATTTGTCAAAAATTTCTTCAGCTGATCTATCGCTTCTTCATCCTGCGGTGTCAATTTGAATGCTATTACGTGAGATCGTTTTTCTTTCACGCGTGCCACTGCCGGAGCATATTGATACAGGGGGCAGGCAATTTGTAAAAAGTTAGGAATAAACTTTCGGTAATACTCGGCAGCCTTCACAAAGCTGAACATATCCTTCGCTGATTTGAACGGTGGCAAATCCGTCAATGCATTTATTCTTTTGGATAATGGTTTTATACCCGTTTCATTGATTTCATGTCCCAAAAACTTGATGTTATTTTTGAATAAATCACATTTAGGTGGACTTAAACGAAAATTTGCGTGATGAAGAACACTGCAAATTTGTGCAAAGTGTTCGAGATGTTCTTCAAAGGTTTTTGAATAGATTATAATGTCGTCGATATAGGCGAGACAATATTGCCATCGTGTTGGTCATAAGATCTCATTGACGATACGTTGAAAGGTGGGAGAACCATTCATCACTTTTTGTGGCAAAGCTTTAAACTGGTACAAGCCTTCTCTTGTGCTGAACGCTGTTTTCTCTCGATCTTTTTTATCGAGTGGCACTTGGAAGTATCCACCTTTAAAATCCAATTTTGAATAATACGTAGCTCCGACTAGCTGCTCGAATATGTCTTCAATCCGTGGTAGTGGATAACTATCTGTCTTTGTTACCTCGTTAAGCTTCCGATAATCTACACAGAATCGTGCTGATCGTGCTGATTTCTTTGAGACGAGTACGACGGGTGATGACCATGGAGAATTCGATGGTTCGGTTTTATCATTGTTCAGCAATTCTTTCACTTCTTCCGTAACTATTTTATTTTGCTTGTCGGTCTTCCGACCGTAATAATTTCGAACTGGTCGATTATTGCCAGTGTCGATTGCATGTCGAACTGTTGT